AATTGTAAAACTTTGTAATATCACATGTCATATGTTTAGAACAGCCGCTGTCAAGGTACCAAAGATCTTTAGTTTGTTGTGCTTGAAAGAGAAATTAGTATAGTTGCAGTATAACTGATATGGAATCGAAACAATAAACTAATTCTGCACTGAAAGCAGAATATTAATCGATTAATTTGTTATTGAATCGATTAATCTTGTTCTGGAAAGAACATATTAGAATAATAATCGATTAAATCGAGAAATAATCGATTAAATTTGGCCTTTTAATGATTTTAACTGATGTAAATCATTTTTAATCGATTAAAACAATCATACTAAATATCTTGAGAGCATTTTAATCGATTAATTCGTATTTTAATCGATTAAAATTGTACGGACAACTTTTTTGGTATACTCTGTAAGTGGAATTAATCGATTAAAACAGTTTTATATCAATTAAAATACACAGTCCATGAATCCAGAAACAACATTTGCTGATTGGGTGCCAAAGAACTTCCAGATTTTGTTCCTGCAAAACAGATTTAACATATATCTGGTACCCTTTTTATAATCATTGGGTCCAATCAGGTTATTTGGAATGAATTCTTGGGAATCCACTTCATTCTACCTCTTGGTATAGCATATTTCTTGATTCTACAAAATTTCATAGAATGACCTTTTTTCATACAATAAAAGCATGTAATAAATGGTGACGAAACAAATTTACTATATGCAAAATAATTTTTAAATGCTCTAGTTTTCTTTCCAACAAGAGGTGTAAAACCAATACCACCACGATCAATAACCAACTTTTGAGAATCAAGTATAACATCAAGACTGGTTTTTTCTTGTACAAGTTTAGATGCAGTTTTTATTAAATATGTTAATTTCTTTTGTAACTCAGGACAATTTTCACAATCTTTATCATTACACATGCAATCAGAATTATTACCTATTTCTAGATTTTCATTCTTAGTTTCTTCATCAACAATTTTCTTTTCAAGAAGAGTGATTTTGTTCTCTAATAAACTATTTATGCTTTTTAATCTTTTGTTTTCAATTTCTAATTTCTTAGCTACTGCATGCATTTCATAAAACACATCTTGTAATGAACTGTAATTCATAGTAGTTGTTGAATAAGAACTTACACTGTTCATGGGAGAATCCAAATTGACCATCAAACATATCTCTGTTATTTCTTCATAAGCCATTTCAAGAGTTTTCCACATCTGTGCAGCAGTTTGACAATGAGATATCCTAAAAAATTCATTTCTGATAAGTGCAGATGTGATGATATTCTTAGTAGTATAATCATCTTGAATTAGTTTCTTTTCACAATCATTTAAACTAGACCATTCTCTGTTAACAACATAGGAACCTTGTTCAATAACATTTCAAACACTTATATCAATAGATTCAATAAAGATCTTCATTCTTATCTTCCAAAATGAATAATCTGTGGAGGTCTATCAAGACAAGCACCCTCAGAAAACTTATTTCCAGCCATTTGGATCGAAAAACTTGAATAAATCTCAAGAACCTTGCTCTTGATACCAATTGTTAGAAAAGTAGGATGAGATCAAGAGGGGGGGTAAATTGATCTTTGCAAGATTTTCTCAATATACAGATTATCTATTTCAAAGATTAAGAGTCCTGACCAATTCTTGAATCAAACAAAGCAAGCAATCAAAAATAAAGACAACAACAGAATTAAAAAGAGAAAAATTTAGAAAGATACAACCAAGATTTATACTGGTTCACCCAATCCCAAGGCTACGTCCAGTTCCCAGCCAAATTCCAGCTGAGTTCCACTAGATTGAATGTTTTACAGATTACAATTCCAATCACACACCCAATCTACCAAAAGAACCAAAATTCCAGTCCTTGCACCTAAACCTTCACCAAGAACCAACTTCCAGTTCTTGAACAACCCTGCAGCCAAATTCCAGCCACAGAAACCAATGCCCACACTTCCAGACACCCACAATACAGTAAAGAAAAGTAAAGAAACAAAGAGAAGAAACTAGAACACTCAAACCAGGTTTATGCAGCTCTGTAGAATGAGTTTCTTCACAAAAAGAATGCAAAATTTGTCTCAAGAAATAGCTACGAAAAACTTCACAAAACTTGCGCGATTCTTTCTTGAAAGTAGCACTTATGATTGCTTGATTGCTCAATGGTGTGTTTTAAAAGACTCAAGCAATCCTGTTTATATAGAAGATTTTTCAAAATGCTGGTTTAATTAATGTATTAAAACAATCTTTTAATCTGTTAAAAGTCTTGAATTAATCTGTTAAAACTTCTTTTAATCTGTTAAAATGTTCTTGATCATTTTACAGATTTGTTTTAACTGATACGACAACGTTTATATCGAGTAAAAATCCTTTAAATTATTTTAATCGATTATTTTGCCTTTTAATCGATTAAAATACTGAAAAATGTTTTCATAAAACTTTCTAAGTGATTTTAACTGATAACAATCTGTTTTAATCGATTAAAATACTTTGGAAAAATCCTCTTAGTTATTTTAATTAGGGATGGCAAAACGGGCCAACCCGCCCCGATATAGTCATGACGGGCTGTAGACCTTGGCCCGCCAGCCAAGGGCTGGTCGACCTGCCACAATTTAGAAAAAAATAATTTTTTTTAATAATTTTTTTTAATAAATTTAATAATAAAATTATTATTTGTTTGTCAATAATTCAATATATATATATATATATATATATATATTATTTCAATTTAATAATATAAATCAATATATTATTTTAAAAAATTATAATTTAGAACAATAATAAAATTTACATAATAATAAATAATAACAAATATATATATATATATATATATATATAAATAAATAACGTTAAACTTATAAAATTTATATTTTTTATATTGAAAAATTGAAATACCTATATCTTTTTTATTTGATAAAACTTCATGTTATTCTTGGTTGAGTAATTCTTACACCTTTAATTTAAGTAATAAGGATAAAAATATGCTTAGGATAAACAATGAGAACAAGAGAGAAAGTTATGTTTCGGGAAGGAGAATATTTTCTGTGAGAATGAAACTTTTTTAATTCTCTTTTTAAAAATTTTAACTTTATATATTATCTTTATAATTAATTTTATTACAATAAAAAATTGTTTTTTTATTAATTAGGCGGGCCGCGGGTTGGCCCGACGGGTTGACGGGCTTGGCGGGGTGGGCCAAGCGGGCTGGTGGGCTGAAAACACCAACCCACCCCTGCCAGCCCGCCGGGCCTAACCCGTTTTGCCGTCCCTAATTTTAATCGATTAATTCGCATTTTAATCGTTTAGAATTCTGCCAAAAAGTTTCATAAAACTTTCTAGGTCATTTTAACTGATAACATACTTGTTTTAATCGATTAAAATACTTTGGAAAAATCTCTTAGTTGTTTTAATCGATTAATTCGTATTTGTATCGATTAAAATACTGACAAAACATCTTTTAAAACACTTCAAGTTATTTTAATCGATTAAAATTCTGCCAGAACACTTTTCAAAACAATTTAAGTCATTTTAATTGATTATTTCGATTCTACATCAGTTTAAATACTGGCAGAAAGTTTTCAAAAATTCTTTTAATGAAAACAATTGATTATTTCGAAGACATATCAATTAAAACAGTTCCAGTGTATGTTTTAAAAGGTTTTAATTGATTAAATAAAAAATCTATCAGTTAAAAACTTGTAACGAAAGTGTTAAGAATATTTTAACTGATAAAGCTCATATAATATCAGTTAAAACAGTTTACTTAAAAGCCATTTAACAAATTACTTTGTTTTTAATAGTTTAAACACGTTTTAGAGGCATTTGCAAAATCTTTTGAATGAAGAAACCTCATGCAGTAGAGAGATAAGAATGATTATACCTAAGTATAGATGCAGACTCACTAACCACTCTACCCTTTTATCCAAGTAACCTTTGACTGCAACAGAATAGCCTTTGACTTCATTTTGACTTCATCAAATCAACAAGATCTTCGTTTAATCAAATGATTCAATAAGATCTTCATCACTTTAACAACTAATCTTTCCAATTCGATTCAATCGGTCTGACCAGTTTGGTTTAATTGGTCTGACCAAACTGAACTGAATTAATCGGTTTGATCGGATCAAACTAGGTCAATAGATATGACTAAACCAAATCGAATAAATCAATCTGATCAGACCCAACTATTTTTATTGGCCTGATCAGATCAGATCAGACCGGTTTGACCAGACCAGACCAGATCAACCGGTTTGACTGGACCAGACTGGTTCAACCAGACCAAATTGGATAAATTGATATGACTAGACCAAATCAGATCAATCGGTATGATCAGATCAAATTTTTTTAATCAATCTAACTAGACCGAACCAATTCAATCGGACCAGGCTAGATTGACCAAGCCAGACCAAATCAGATCAATTGGTGTGACTGGATCAAAATAATTAATCTTACTCGACTGATTGATTTCATCAAGCCGGATCAACCGGTCTAATTGGGCTGGACTAGACCAGACCAATTGGGCCAAATCGAATCAGACCAATCAATTTGACCAGGCCAAATTTGATCAATCGGTGTGACTAGATCATATTGGTTTGATCATATCAGAGTGGTTTAATTGGTTCAATTGGACCATACTGGTTCAATTGATTTGATCAGTCTGGTTTAGTCGATTTGACTAGACCAGACTAGTTTGGTTAAATTGATATGAATGAACAAAATTGGACCTGTTCAATCGGTCATATTAAACTATATCAGTTCGATCCAATTGGACCAGACTAATTTCATTCAACTGATTTGACTGGATTGGGGTTAGACCAAATCAGTTCAACATGTCAAATTGGACCTAACCGATTCAATTAGCCTGATTAGACCAGTTCAGTTTAACTGGTATGACCGAATCAGTTCAGTTAAACCAGTCTAACCTCACCATTGGTACATCACTTTTCTGAATCCCACCATCAACGATCATATGTGTTAGAATAACATAGTAACTTGTCCCTTCCTTCATCTTATTCCATGTTTGTTGTGTTGAAGCAACCCTCCTTCCAATGAATAAGGAAACATAGTTCTCTGTTGCGCACAGTGAGAATGCGATTGGCGACCAACAAATCCATCATCTTTGCATCCCTCAATTACCACGGGGCACCCAACACACACTGAAGAAGCTGACACCACAACTGAAGTTGGTGTAAAAAATAGAAATTCAAATTATAGTACCCACATTAGCAAACCCAACTCCTTTACATGAATAATTGACACTAAGGAATGTGTTGCTTAAGAGTAAAATAATACTCTAAGATTTTTACTGGTTATAGAACACACACCTTGCACCAAGCTATCTGATTTAGTCGCCTCCATCCCACTCATGGCAAAGAACCTCCTTGCCACACAAGGCATACTCTCCTCTCTCCTAGCCTGCTGAGAACTACTGGGAGGAGCTACTCCTTTACTATTGTGACAACCTCTAACTATATGTCTTGTCCTTTGACAATTATAACATTTCCTCTCTAGGGCTTGTTGAGTACAATCTTTGATTAGGTGAGATCACCACATCTAATGTCCCTAGCTCGTTGTTGCTGGTGGAAAATAGTTGAACCTCCTTTACTCGATTGGGACCTAGAGTAGGGCTTCCTCTGCTCGACTTGGCATTGCCACTAGAAAATCCTCCACCTTGAGATCTAATCACTTACTGTCACAACTTTTTAGCCTTTTCATAGTCTTGCCCTTCTTTACTAAAACCATAAACTCTTTAATGGACATAGGGACCACTGTTCTCTTTAGCTCATGCCATAATTTCTCCTCACACTTCCTACATCTCCAAGCTTCTGAAGTGGCCTGAGTGTAAAATATGGCTAGGTGCTTAAATCTAGTAGAATAAACATGCACGGTCATATTTCCCTGCTCTAATATAAAAAAACTCTGCCTCTTCTCTACAAATCTTATTTTGAAGCTCTCCTGCCAATAGGTATGTAGCAAAAATAAGCTTCTTGTTCTCAAGACAATAAGTCACCTTAAAGCCCTTCTCTGAGTCCTTAATCCATTATCCATTGATTTTCTTGGTTAGGGTCTGAGTTGCCACTAAATTTAGGAGATCCATTCCTCATAAACTTAGCCAAGCCCATTTGCTTTGGAGGATGACTGGAAGAGGGGTAGGGGGTCATACTCTGTTGTTGTAGGGTACTAGCCATAATCTTTATGGCCCTAACAATTTTGTTCATCTTCATCTTAAGAGGGGTAGGGGGTCTAGGTGTCATCCTAGATACAATAAAGAAGTTGGTTAGGAAATATAAATTAGATTATCTCTAATCGAATTTCCTTAACCATCACACAAACAAAAAAGTTATAGTTAAATAAACACATAACAAGCCTAGTTGACCCACTTTCCTTAGGTCCATCTAAGACATGACCTGCTCTGATACTATTAAATTCCCATAGATATATAATTAAAATGCATAAAGTAATTCAAAATATAAATATAAATCCCCTTTGCACAGGGAAATATATAAATACATATATACCACCTTAAAAGTAAAACAAAACATAAATATATAGTACTCGTAGCTTTAAACCTACTCTTATTGGGGTCTACCACTTGCAACATCTCGCTTTCGTGTAAACACACAATCATCACACTTTAAGGCAACATATGCAACACACAAGATAAACTAGTAATTCAATTTAAGTATACAAATTTAAATATAAAATAAAATAACTCCAAGTTTTTATATATCATATCACGCTTATAAAGGCTCACATTTACATCACACAGACACTAGGCAAATTCTGAAAGACTATATATTGAAATAGACATTAGAGATATGCACCTATCGCATCACAACTCTCCAAGTACATAACACAAGAGACCCAGTTTGGTATATACGTATGACCATGGTAAATTTCTAAATGATTTATCAAGACAATTATTTTTCACATTACAGGCTAAGTCACTATAAACCTCCTTCAACTCTCACCATCTAATCCTTGTGATTCTAGTGATTAATAGAGTCAGATATCTCCTCGAGTCCCAAATCAATATCTATACATACAACATGAAGATACCCCTTGCTAATTCTCATATCACAACAACATTTTTCAAGACACATAATAGCATTAAACACATCTCATTTAATGTTCATAGCATGTATTTTAATATCTAACAACATATACATATCATTTATTACACTATAACAAAATATAATTGTTAGAATTATAGACTGAGTTCAAAAGGGGGTGGATTGATCTTTACAAATTTTTTCACAATTATAGATACAGATTAACAATTTCAAAGATTAAGAAATCTGATCAAGTATTAAACCAAGAAAACCAAACAGAATTGAATAAGGTTCAAGCTGAATTAAAGAAATCGATGGAAGAGGAAAAGAAACACCAAGAATTATACTGGTTCACCCAAACCACTGAGCTACATCCAGCTCAACCAAATTCCAGTTAAGTTTCACTAAGTTGAAGATGTTTTGATTACAGAATCAAATTACAAAACACCCAACCTGCACAAAGAACCAAATTCTAGTTATTGAAACTAACCTGCACCAAGAACCAAATTCCAATTCTTGAACCTAACCTGCAACAAGTTTTAGTTGCAAAACTAGTGCCCAATCTTCCAGACACCAAGATAATACAAAATAAAATTGAAAAAATGAAGAAACTATAACAATCAAACCCGATTATGTAGATGCAAAAATCCCACTACACAATGAGTTTCTTCACAAGCAAGAATACAAAAATGTCTCATGAAAGAACTTCAAAAATTTCCATTGAAAATAGCGCACTTCTCTTTTGAAAAGATCTCTATTGATTGCTTGAATGATTTCTAAAAGATGTATGTTTAAAATGTTGAAGCAAATATGGTTATAGAAAGATTTTTCTAACAAACTGGTTTAATTAATCAATTAATTTGTCTTTTAATTGATTAAAAAAATCTTGATTCTAACGGTTTTAACTGATGAAAATATCATTTAATTGATTAAAATGTTCTACAATGCTTTCAAGAAATATTTTAACTGATAAAAATGCGGTTTAATCGATTAAAACAATTACTATATTTTTTTAAGTGATTTTATCGAAGTTTAATAAATTAAAATACTGACAGAATATTTTTTAAAGTTTCTTAAGTATTTTTAATCAATTAATTCGAATATGTATCGATTAAAACTGCGACATAACATGCTTACACTTAGTTTAAGTGATTTAAATCGATTATTTCGAAAATACGTCAATTAAATTTGGATTTAATCCGTAAATATATTTTTAGCTGATTTTAATCAATTAATCTGTAAATATATCAATTAAATTCGAGACTTAAGAGTATATTAACTGATTAAAATGATTAGAGACATTTTTATTCCTTTCAAATGATAGAACCTCATGTTGTAGAAATGGATAGATGATTATTCCTACTTAATATTAATGCAGACTCACTAAACACTACATCTCTTATCCCATAAACCCTTTGACTTCATCAAATCTTCAAAGATCTTCACTATCAACATCAATAATTTTTTTCTAATTTGACTTATGCCTACTCTTTTGATCTCAACTTTTTCTATAGACATCCTTTTTAACTAAGTTTTATTTTATTGCATTCCTTCTTTGCGAGGCTTTGATTTGAACGTATGAAACATTGAATTTGAAGTTCATAACTATTTTTATAAGAAATCGAAAATTGTTAAGCAAATCTAAATTTGCTAAGCAAAGTTTTGACAGAATGGAACCTCCAACATCGCTCAAAATCTTTTGGGTGAATTTGAAAGTGTTAAGTGGAATTTTCCAAGATAGTCCAAAATTTGTTGAGTAAATTGGAAAGCGCTAAGTGAAATTTAAGGGTTTTCAACATTGCCTTAAATCCGCTAGACAGATTCATGACAGTAGCAGACTGCATAAGCCGCTTAATTCATTGTTTCTAACATTCCAAATCAAATTAATTCTAAACACTACCCTCTAATTTTTAAATCAATTCACTAAATTCAATTTAAAAATAATACATTCATACAAAAGAATGTCATTTTCAATCTCATAGACATCAATTATACATTAACACTCAATATGATCATCACAAATAAACAAAAACATAATCACAAAAGCTAATTTCTTGAAACTCAAACAATGTGACCAAGTCACCTTCAAAGTTCATATCCTTTAGCTTAGAGTACTATGGAAACTGAAGAATAACTAACTTTCCTTACCTCAAACATAGTGCATCCAAGTTAAAGAATCACAAAAACTCCTAAATTTTTAAGAAGATAGATCTTATTCACATAAAACTCAAATTAACAACAAAGTCAAGATTTATCTTTTCACAACAAAGTTAAGCCCCCGGGACCCACATATAAACCTAAACTCAAAATATTCAAGAATTGGTTTAAAATTAGAAAAAGAGAAACCGACTCTATTCAAAATTATGATTGGGTAAATATGATCTCCTTTATTGCAGAGTACTAAGACATGCTTGGATCTATAAAATGATGAGAGAGGGAGTGAGATATTTAGAGAGAAGACAAAGAAAAGATTGTTGTAAAGAGATGATGATTTTATGAGAATGAACTTTAAATGGTTAAATTTTTTTTATTTATAATTCTTTTTAATTTAAACGGTAAAATTTTAAACTTAGTCTCATTGTACCAATTTTAATCTTAATTCGCCCAAAGTGGGTCCTCACATGTTAGATTATTAAGTAGTTTTATAATTAAAAATATATAAATTTTCACTTCTAGTTTTATAATGAAAAAATAATAATTTTCCACTTTTATATAAAAAAATTATAGTTAATTTTGATGCTCAGTGTCTTATTTATTTTCATCATGAATATATAAATAATAAAAAAAATATAAATTTTCAACATTAATTTAATAAATTGTATAATAAGGAATTTCTCAAATGTGAAAACACATGAAATAAAAAAATACAGATAACTAAAAAAATATGCAATATTTTTTTTGGAAAATAAATATTCAAAATAAAATTACTACAATATTAATATCTTCATTCAAGTACATTACAATAATCTTTCCTATAATAATTGATATTGATTAATTATTTAAACTATTACAATTTAATTAATTTATTCACAGGTTGGAACATATACATGTGTACATGTATATGTGTTTTAAGTGTAAATTTGTTCGTTATTAGATTTCAATGTTTAGGCGTACCACTTTTACGATATAAATTAGTTTTTTAGATAAATCGGTTTATCATCATGTAGGTTCTTTTAATTATGACTAGTAAGTAAATATTTTTCAATTTAGGAATATAAATTACAGAAAAAGTAAATATATCTCATTACTAAGGTTAAAAGAGAAATTTACAAAGAAATTTGGTGACCAAAATTGCAAAAAACTTTATATTGAAATAGTCTCATCCCGTTTGTGGTGTGTTTTCCA